GCGATCCATTGCCGGTCACGATAAAAGACAAAAAAAAAAAAAAAAAAAGGAATAAAACAAAGCTGAAATTAGAAGCTTACATGCTTTACTTAACTTCTAAGAAGAATTTACTTGATCCTTGGCAATCAAAAAAGAAACCAGTGTTTGTAAATTCTAGACTTCTACCACTACTTTTGGCATATCCACACTTTTTTCTCTGTCATTGGACAACACAATTGGAAATCCACCTATGTTCAGGCAGTTTCTATTTTCTTTACTGAAAAAAATAACTTGAAAAGGCTCATTTTGATATTGGGGTCTTAAAAAATAATAAAGGTAATAAAAATTTTAAACCTTTAATAGTACAATACATATATACACATACACGTATATGTATATCTATATATTAATATTATGATTCTCTTTTTACTTAGAGTAAAAAAATTGAGTACTCACTTTATTATATCACTGACAAAGATCATTTTTCAATGTATTTGGAGAGTGAGTCAGTCATCTCCTTGGAGCCTGCTGCTCCTAGCCTGGGCTATAAGCCAAAGACACATCCTGGTGGCATTTGCACATAGAGAACCAGTGAAGGATGTGTTTGGGGACCCTGGGACTGGGGACTGCTGTGCTCTTACAACTGGGCCACCCACTTCATCTGTTATTTTTTTTAACTTTGTCACAAACTTTTTTTAGAAGGTTGCTATAGTGAACACCAATTTTATATTTTTAAATATTCACTCACTAAATACAAAATCAACAATATATACTACTAAACCAGTAATCACATATAGAAATCTTACACTTCAGCTTTTCTTCAAAAGTCCCTTAAAGAAACACTGATAATCCTTTAACCCACTCTTTGACATTTATGGAGTTATCATTATCTTTGTCAAATGCAAAAAACACTTAAAAAGAATGTGTAAGTGTATTGTAATCTAGAGCTATTTTAGAATTCAAGAGTAGGTATGTACGAATAGATTAAAAAACTTTTCTCTGAAATTGAGGGAGGAAAAAAGGTTTTGGCAGAGTCTTCTTGAAAGAATCAATATTCCTGGAAATGTGTTTCCCCCCATATTTTTGAAGAAAGAGTCATTCTTCTCCATGGTCAGTGATGCACTTCACTCGTGATGTTTTGTTACTATGCACAGTTACTATAAGCCAAGAAGAGAAACAGTGGAGCTAACCAATGTGACCATTTTTACTCTAAAAAGTGGCCAAAATTCTGTTCTAAAGAGTTTGAACAATACCTAAAGGTAAATTACTAAAATAATTAATTATTTTTAAAATTACCACTGAAAGCTTAGTATTATCCTTTATAAAATAAGTTAAAATATTACTTAGTCTTTGGAGATGATGAATTATTATTTTGATTGTGATGATGGTTTTAGTGGCGTATATGTGTGTCAGAACTTACCAAATTATACACTTTAAAAATCTCTTTCTGAAACTAACTAGATCACATGAAATAATTTACTATTTTAAATATATGATCTTGGGCCGGCCCATGGCTCACTCGGGAGAGTGCGTGCTGATAGCACCAGGGCCGCAGGTTCGGATCCCATATAGGGATGGCCGGTTGGCTCACTGGGTGAGCGTGATGCTGACAACACCAAGTCAAGGGTTAAGATCCCTTTACTCGTCATCTTAAAAGAAAAATTAAAAAAAATAAAAATATAAATAAATAAATATATGATCTTGCTGGCTGCTTGGCTCAGCTGGTGAGAGCATGGTGTTATAATGCTAAGGTCAAGGGTTCAGATCCCTGTACATGCCAGCCACCAAAAAAATAAAAATATAATAAATAAATACATAAATGTATGGCTTGTCTTTGAATTTTTCCAATATAATGAGTCATTATCATTTCTTATACTGACTTATACACTCTTCATTTTTAGTAGGAAAAAGAAGTCATTTAATAATTTACATGTCTGCAGCATGTAAATCCAAAGACATCATGATTAAAAGCTGCTTCTCTTTTAAAACAGAAGTACTAGCATATTTGGTTCATTGCTGGTTATTTCTCAAGGCTTTATAGCTCTTCATAGGAGATGTGAAATTCTAAGTAAGTTTGCATGAGAAAACATCTTTAGAAACCAATTATTTTTTTCGGCACTACACTACCAGAATTATGCCTCTCTTCTTTGGCTTTGAAAAAATTCAGTGATTTACTAAAATTGAATGTATATATACAAGTTCATGGAAAGATTTGTATAATCTTTTAATTCTATTTTTCCACAAATTTTTAAAGTACTCTCATATTTGCCATCTGATTGGCCCATTTTAGTTGTTTATGACTTCTTACTCCTGTCCATCAGTATATCATCAGTCATTCCAAATACATTGTGGAGGATCCCTCGAAACACTTTACGTCTAGGTCAATGTTATTAAATGTTTCAGCGGTTCTCCCCACCAAGCTGTGAAAAAGTCTCATGAGACATTCTACTTCACTTTTTTTGACTGTAGAAGGAAAAGATAAATAAATACAATTTAGATTCAATCACTGAGTTATTCGATCCAATTAATTATATTTTATTAAGCAGCTATTTTGTTCTTTTGAAGCTAGGTGCTTTGATGATACCAAAAAAAAGTATGATATGGACTTGTTTCTTAAGAACTTACACAATTAAGGTGGGTCTCACTCAGAAGTCTTGGTATAAAACTGCTTAATTATGAGACACTCACCACCACAGACATGTAAAGCAAGAGAAATGAGAAATTGGTATGGGAAATAAGAGTTGGACCATTTTCATAGAAGTAGACTTTGAACTGGGTCCTGAAGGATGAATAGTATTGATATAGGAAGGAATGTGTTGGGGGTGGTAAAGAAGTAGAGAATTCTAGGGAAAGGGAGTAAGCAACATGAGTAAAGAAAGAGAATTAGGGTTGAGACCGAACACGCCTTATTGGGAGCATAGCAAGGAGCTGGGAAGAAGTGAACAACAAGGTCGAAGAGGATGGGCTGATGGTAGATGGCTTGGAATGCCTGGTGAGAGGATTACCATTAATGTTCTGGAGCAGTGTTTCTCATGGTGTCGTTTTTGGAACATCTGGATGAGAATCAATTCGCTCTCCACTGTTCTATGCCTGTGAAATATGCAGATTCCCAGGATTTGCCCCAACTCTGCTAGGTAAATCTGAATTGCTAATAGTGGGCCCAGAAATTGGCTTTCAAACAAGAGCTAATTTGAGTCTTTCATGCTCCAGGGATTGAGAATATTTGAGTTAAGCCACTGAAGATTTTGGAACAGGAGAGGGCCATGACAGTAAAAGCATAAAACCCATCTGGCGAGGTTCTATTACAGGAGGAAAGCTGGAAGCGTGGACCCAGGCTTGGAGTGAGGGCTTTGACTAGAGAGGTGGGAATGAGCCCAGAAAACTGGGGAGGGAGGTTGAGATGCTGCAGAAAATCAGCAGGGCTTTGTGACCTCTCAGATCTGCAGTTTTCCAACCAAATTTTTTTTGTGTGTGTCTTTTTCGTGACCGGTGCTCAGCCAGTGAGTGCACTGGCCATTCCTATATAGGATCTGAACCCGCAGCGGGAGCGGCGCTGCGCTCCCAGTGCTGCACTCTCCTGAGTGCGCCACGGGGCCGGCCCTCAAACCAAATTTTTAATATTCACATCCCTGGGTCTCACTCCACACTTAGTAAAATGCTAATGTGAGGAAGTGCACAGGTGATTCCAATGCACT